CAGGCATCACCACCATGCCGCTAATTTTTTGTATAATACTTTAGTGTCAATTAATTTCTTCTATTTTAGTATGAGATGGGGTCTAGCTCAGGCTGGTTTCGAGACTCCCGACCTTGAGCAATCCACCCGCCTCGGCCTCCAGAGTGCTAGGATTTCAGGCGTGAGCCACCTCGCCGGCCTAAACACCATTTTTAATAGCTGTACAGTAATCTGTAGTGTCAAAATACCATGGCTTGATCAGCTCTACTGATGAGTTTTTAGTTGTAGACAATATTGCAGTGAACATCCTAAACATTTATCAGAATGAATAAATGCAAATTTCTAGTAGAAGAATCTGAACATTGTTTCTAGTTTCTTAAAAATTATTAAAGCAAGACTGTCAGTAATAAAAAAAAAAAAAAATATTTGGGTGAGGTGGCTCACACCTGTAATCCTAGCCTTGGAGGCTGAGGTGGGAGGATCACTTGAGTTTAGGAAACCAGGCTGAGCAAGAGCGACCTCTACTAAAAACAGAAAAATTACCTGGGCATGGTACATGCCTATAGTCCCAGCTACTGGGAAGGCTGAAGCAGGAGATCACTTGAGCCCAGAAGTTTCAAGTTGCAGTGAGCTATGATGATGCCACTGCACTCTACCTGGGGCAACAGAGCAAGACTCTGTCTAAAAAAAAAAAAAAAAAAAAAAAAAAAAACTGGGGACAAGAATAAGATTTTATCAGGAGAAAAAGGTTATACTTCTAAAAAATGTTTGAAAATTACAGCAGTTATTTTAAATGTAATCAAGGGGAGGGGATTAAAATGATTTTAATCAATAAATTTATTTATTATAATTTGCCAGGCACTGTGGCTCATCTCTGTAATCACAGCACTATAGGAGGCCAGTGTATGAGGATTGCTTGGGTCTAAGAGTTTGAGACCAGCCTGAGCAACATAGTGAGACTTCATCTCTACAAAAAATAAAAAATTAGCTGGGCATGGTGTCCTATAGTCCTAGCTACTCGGATGCTGAGGTGGGAGGATCACTTGAACCCAGATTTGGAGGTTAACAGTGGGCTTATGATGGTTCTTATCACATCAGCAGCGTGGGCAACAGAGTGAGGCCCTGTTTTAAAAACAAAGAAACAACCTCTTAAAATAAACATAAAAAAGAAAATTTGAGCAAATATTATCATTAAATATAGTATTACTCCATCTTGTCTCACTTCCTACACCCAAATTCCAGACCCCCCCCCCCTACAGATAACAAATTCAAGCACAAAAGAAACAACTGTTAAAAATTAAAAAACAATTAAAATGGGTCTATTTCTATTTTTTAAGGAAAAAATAAAAAATAACAAAATAAAAGGGAAAGAACCTATGGGCCGGCGCGGGGCTCACGCCTGTAATCCTAGCACTCTGGGAGCCGAGGCGGGCAGTTGCTCGAGGTTGGGAGTTCGAAACCAGCCTGAGCGAGCACCGCGTCTCTTACTAAAATAGAAAGAAATTAATTGACCAACTAAGATATATATACAAAAAAATTAGCGGCATCGGTGGCACATGCCTGTAGTCCCAGCTACTGGAGGCTGAGGCAGGAGGATAGCTGATGCCAGGAGTTGAGGTTGCTGTGAGCTAGGCTGACGCCACGGCACTCACTCTAGCCTGGGCAACAAAAGTGAGACTCTGTCTCAAAAAAAAAAAAAAAAAAAGGGAAGACTAGATTTTAAATATGTATATTTTAGGATCTCAGAATGGGGATGGCATAAAATGACACAAACCAGAGTCCATAAAAACTGATTTAATTTTTTTCCTCCCTAGTATAACGTGTTTTGTTTGAGATGGGTCTCACTCTGTCCCCAGCTGGAGCGCTGAGGCAGTGGCATTCATCATAGATCACTGCGCCTGTTTCCAGTGCTTTTATTTTTATTTATATATTTTAGAAAAGGTCTCACTCTGTTACCTAGGCTGGAGTGCAATGGTGCTCTGATAGCTCATTGTACTTTTAAACTCCTGGTCACAACAATCCTCCTGCCTCAGCCTCTGGAGTAGCTAGGACCTATAGGTGCATAGCAGGCAATTTTAAAATTTTGTAAGATAAGGTCATCAGTGTTTTTTTTTTTTTTTTTGAGACAGAGTCTCGCTTGTTGCCCAGGCTAGAGTGAGTGCCGTGGCGTCAGGCTAGCTCACAGCAACCTCCAAACTCTGGCTCAAGCAATCCTCCTGCCTCAGCCTCCAAGTAGCTGGGACTACAGGCATTCGCCCCATGCCAGCCTATTTTTGTATATATTAGTGGCCAATTAATTTCTTCTATTTAGCAGAGACGGGTCTCGCTCTTGCTCAGGCTGGTTTCGAACTCCTGACCTTGAGCAATCCGCCCGCCTCGGCCTCCCAGAGAGCTAGGATTACAGGCGTGAGCCACCGCGCCCGACTGCATCAGTGTTTTAAAATAACTTTATTGAGATATTTTACATATCAAAAAATTCACCCATTTTAAGTATATAATTCAATGATATTTATTAAATTTATAAAGTCTAGCATCCATCACTACAATCTAGTTTTAGAACACTTCCATCACCCGTAATAGATCCCTCTTGGCCCCTGCAGTCAATCACCATTCCCACTCCCACCTCCAGGCAACTACCAGTCTGCTTTCTGTCTCTACAGATTTCTTTTCTGGACATTTCATATAAATGGAATCATATAATATGTGGCCTTTTGTATTTGTTTTTTTTTTTTTCACTTAACATGTTTTCAAGGTTCATCTACTTTGCAGCATGTATCAGGACTGTATTCCTTTATATTGCTGAATCATATTCTATTGTATGGATAGGTCACATTTTGTTTCTCCATTTACCAGCCCACAGACATTTGGATTGTTTCCAACCTCTGGCTATTACGAACAGTGCTACTGAAAACATAAACACCCAGATCTTTGTGTGGGCAAATTTCTTCATTTCTCTTGGGCAGATACCTAGAAGTGGCATTGTTAGGTCACACATTTAAATATACATAAAACTTTTTAAGAAACTGCCAAGCTATTTTCCAAAGTGACTGTACCGTTTAATATTTTTACCAGCAACATAAGAGAGTTCCTATTTGTCCACTTCCTGGCGAAAACTTGTTATTGACTTCTTGATTATAGCCATTCGATTAGAATGGGTATAAAGTGGTATCTCATTGTGGTTTTCTTTGCATTTCTGTAATGAATAATGATGTTGAGCAACATTTCACATACTTATTTAGCCATCTGAAATGTTATGCTATGTGAAAGAAGCCAGATACAAAAGACCACATATTGTACGATTCCATCTAAATGAAATATGCAGAATTGGCAAATGCATATGAACCAGAAAGCAGATTTAATGGTTGTCAGGGGAAAGAAGAATTCAGAGTGAATGCTAATGGGGACGAGTATTCTTTCTGGAGTGATGAAAGGCTGCACAACTCTGTGAAAATACTAACACCACTGAATTGTAACATTTTAAAAGGTGAATTTTATGCTATGTAAATTATATTTCAATAAATCTGTTATTTAAAAAAACAAAAATATTTGAAATTCAAAAAGCTAATTTCCTAAGATTTCCAAATCTATGAGAAAATAAACAAATCCACTAGAAAAATGGGCAAAGGACATGAAAAGACAGCTATGAAAAAGAAATAAGAAAAATAATTTTAAATCTGTGAAAAGATATTCAACCTTGTAAGTGAAAGGCAAATTACTGCTTTAAAGTGACAAAAAAGATGAATGTTATCACTGTGTTATATGAGGATATGGAGAAACAGGCACTTTGCATTGTTGGTGGGAGTGTAAGCTGCAACACTCTTTGAAGGGATGTAAATAAATGCAAAATACATATTTTGAAAAAAAAAAGTTGGAAAAAAAATACATATTTTGACTTGTAAGATTTCATGTATTATATTCTCACATTTGCACAAAGTATATACAGGGATACTCACTGCTAAGTTGTCCATAACTGCACAAGAACAGAAATAGTTTTAAGAGTTCATCAGTAGAGAACTAGATAAATTATGGTATAACCACACAAAAGAATCAGGCACATCTATAAATATTGATAAGGAACAAGTATCAAAATGTATTCCGGAGTGAAAAAAGGTATAGTATTTTATGTGTAATATGCTACTCTTGGTTTTATAATAAAAAGAAGACAAGAAGATATACATACATAGAATATGTCTGCTGTCTTAGAAGAAATGACTTGGGACTTGGGAAATATTAACAGAGGGCGAGAGGCTTACATTTCACTGTTTGGTACTATTTGAATTTTAAAACATGTACTAGTATCACTTATTAGAGTTTCTCTACTGAAAGTAAATACAATTAACATGACTTGCAAAGAAACTGTATTTGAAGCCCCTGTGGATAGTCTCTTCTTGGCAAGTTTACAAATCAGCCTCCTCAACATAAGACTGTAAAGGGACTAGGGTTGGAAGAGTTAACCCACAAAAGCTCCCTGGGAGTGGTGGATTTCACCCAGGTACTATCTGGCTGTAGATCTATATAGTTTGGTGGTTGCTGCTTAATGCTTGTGAAGCACAGTTAGGTGAAGAGAACGAATGATCATGAATAAAAATAAAACTAGTTGAGTACTCGTGTTATGTCCTTTCTATGTATTTACGCATGTATCGCTCACAAGATCCTGTGAAGTAAATACTATTTTACCCATCTTAAAGATAAGGAAATTGTGGCTCAGATTTGACGAAAGTGTCACAGCCAGCAGGTATCTAACGTGAGCACTGCCTCGAAACATCGGGGAAAGGCCGATAAGGCCCAGAGGAAAGGGGTCCGTGCTCCTGCCTCCGGGGCGAGCACCTCCCCGGGCGGCTTCCGGACCTGCTTCCCGGCATCCTCCCCGCGCGAAATCTCACTTCCGGTCCTAGGTAGGCCCAAGCAGAAGCATCACCTCGCTGGCACCCTACTCCTCGGATACGCTCTCTGCCGGGATCCCCATCTCTACAACCCTCTTCCACCACCGCCCCGGTCCTCTCTCAGCACGGCCCCCTTACCTGCCCTGCGCCCCCCCGCAGGCCCCAGGGCCCCTCGCTGATGACCGCCCTCACCTCTTCTCTCTTCGCCTGCCGCGGCCTTTTACAAACGCGGTCAAGCTGTTCGCTGTAACAACAGTCGTTATTGGTCAGAGCCGCCCACGCGCGGCAAGTGCACGCCCATTTGCGTCCGCGTTGTCAGATGGGAGTTGTAGTTTCCTCCTGGAGACCACTGAGCACCGCGGAGGATGCGGTGGCAGAATCTGTGTTGACCTGGAGGCTGCAAAGCTCGGTTTCTTCTCTGGGGCTGGAGTGCTCTGGACCACCCTACTGTGGCGCCGACCCAGCTCCAAGGCTGATCATGACTACTTTTAGGCCCGAGAGAGTTCTGTTTCTGAGTTGAGTCTGATTGGTAACTGATGCAAAAATCGCTTGAGATTTTGTAGATTATTAGCAGATAACGACTACGAATCTAAAGGTTTGGAGCTCTTGTCCACCATATTTTTCACTGTTTCTATCACGTGTATGTTTATAACAAGAAAAAGTTATCTTTTTCTCTCTTAACCACTCTTTGATATAGTACTTGAACGTTTTCCCTTATAATGAGCTGAAATTGGCTTCCTGTATATCCTACTTCTGGTCCTTGGAATCACAGAGAATAGAACTAAATGTTCTTTGTTCATGAATGAAGATAGTTCCAACACAGTGTATTTCAGGGTGAGGCCTGTGGGTTGAAAACCCCTGAAATGAGATTTTCTGAACCTTTGTCCTAGCTAGTCCAGCTACTTACTAGTGGTGGCGCTGTGGGCAGATTGCTTTTTCCATTGAAAAACCTTAGTCTTCTCAGCTATTTATAAGAGAAATGGTCCTTTCCAGAACTAAGGTTTGTAATATTGTTTATTAAAATGGAGGGGAGAAGGACAAAGTTTTTTCAGAAGATATTTCAGTTTTCTTTCCTTTCTGATTATAAGTTGTTTTTCTTTCTTTTTCTTTTTTTTTTTTTTTGAGACAGAGTCTCACTCTGTTGCCCAGGCTAAAGTGCCATGGCGTCAGCCTAGCTCACAGCAACCTCAAACTCCTGGGCTCAAGCAGTCCTTCTGCCTCAGCCTCCCAAGTAGCTGGCACTACAGGCATGTGCTACCATGCCTGGCTAATTTTTTCTATATATATATTTTTTAGTTGTCCAGCTAATTTCTTTTTATTTATAGTAGAGACGGGGTCTCGCTCTTGCTCAGGCTGGTTTTGAACTCTTGACCTTGAGCGATCTGCCTGCCTCGGCCTCCCAGAGTGCTAGGATCACAGGCGTGAACCACCCTGCTAGGCCTGCAATAACAATTTCATTCATTCATTCAACAATCATTTGTTGAGCACCTACTTTTTACCATGTACTGGATATATACAGCATTGAAGAATAGTCACCAGTGGGGCCGGACATAGTGGTTCACACCTGTAATCCTAGCACTGTGGGAGGCCGAGGTGGCGGATCACTTGAGCTCAGGAGTTCAAGACCAGCCTGAAGAAGAGTGAGACCCCATCTCTACAAAAAATAGAAAAATGAGTCTCTACTAAAAAACAAAAATTACTGTAGTCAAAATAGAAGTCTCTGGTTATTAAAAAGTGAAACAAACAAACAAAAAAGAAATAGAAAATGTGTAAAAAAATAATTAAAAAAAAAGAAAATTAAAAAAATAGAAAAATTAGCTGGGTGTTGTGGTGCGCCAGTAGTCCCAGCTATTCTGGAGGCTGAGGCAGGAGGATTGCTTGAGCCCAGGAGTTTGAGGTTGCAGTGAGCTATAATGACACCACTGCACTCTACCAAGGGTGACAGAGTGCGACTGTTTTGATAAAAAAAAAGTCACTAGTAGTTGAGTGGGGAGCACACGTTTTAAAGAAATGATCACATGAATAATGAAATACAATTAAAATTATGACGAATGTTATAAAGGAAAAGTATAAGATGGTTTGAGAAGCTGCTGATTTAGATTGTGGGATAAAGAAAGGAAGGCCTCAGAGGAAGTGACTAAGTAGAGACTTGAAAGCAGAGAGTAGGGAAAAGGCACTGGGGAGGGATCCTCTCAGCCCTCAATTCACACTTCTTTTCCTTGTTTTGTGAAATGTTTCTCCTTTGCTAGTTGGCTTTATGTTAGGCTTTCGCTATAGAGGGCACTTGAGGAAGAATGCCAGGTGATAGTAGACTGGAGGCACTTCCTTCATGGGTTCTGGTTCTCTTCTCTTTATCATTCCATGTGGCTTCCAGTGGGTCGCTGTGTGAGAGATCCAGCAGTATTACTCTGAGTGGTCCTCAGGACCTGCCCCAGCTGCACCAAACTCCCCCCACCTGCAGGTGCTTCCACAGCAGCTTTGGCTGTACCAGCCTGCAACCATCTCTAGGATTGACAGATAAAATACAGGACCCCTATTTATTTTTTGGAGACAATGTCTCACACTGTTGCCCAGGCTAGAGTGCTGTGGTATCATATCCCTGCAACCTCACACTCCAGGGCTCAATCGATCCTCCTGCCTCAGCCTCCCCAGTAGCTGGGTGTGCAGGCGTGCACCACCATGCCCAGCTAATTTTTGGTAGAGACCAGGTCTCACTATTCGACAGACTGGTTTCGAACTCCTGGCCTCAGGTGATCCTCCTGCCTTGGCCTCCCAAAATGCTAGGATTACAGGCATGTGCCCAGCCTGTTTCCATTTTATGAGAAAATTAATGCAGAGTCTTTCCATTTCCAATATGCATTTTTGATTCATCAATCAAGACATTAAGTATTAACTTCATATTATGTTGAGGATTTTAGCTCACAGACCCCTTTTTCTTTGTCAATAGAACTCATCTCATTTTTTTTATTGCTGTCATTTCAATGTTTCCATTATTATGACATTATAATTAATATACATGTACTTGGTTCAGGAAGGGAGTATTTCCTTTCTTGTGTAATTTGTTTTTCCTAACAACTGCTTTTTTTCAATCTGCCTGATTTTCTTTTATCATTTAAGTCTTCTCACACCCTTCATAGCACTGTAAGATGTCCCACTATTCAATTCTCTGCAGAGTCCAACCTGAGTCACATACTCAGGTCTCGCCTTCTGACCATCAGTCTAGACTGGATGCCCAGTGACTTCACAGCCATCATCCTGGAACTTCACTTTATCTCACTCTTGTGTGGATCCCATTTTTAGGCAGTACATGATACTTTTTCTTGATTTAAAGTTCTGAAGAAGTGTATCAAGTAGCATCCTAAGAACTGGTAGATAAGATAATCTTTTGAGAACATGCACATCTAAAAATGCCTTATTCTATTGTCAGCCATGACAGTGTAGTTGGATGTATAATATACCCAAACTTTTGAAGGCAGCACCCCAATCCCAACAGACCACTGATTTCCACCATTGCTGTTAAGAATCTAAAGCTACTATTAGTCTCAATTCTTTTGCCATTTGGTAATTTTTAGAATATTCTGCCTGGTGTCTTAAAATTTCATGGTGGCATGGCTTGATATAAGTCTCTTTTTATTAAAGTGTTAATTCAGTAATAGCTATTTTCAATCTTGATACTCATCAATTCTTCAAGGAAGTTTTCTTTTTTTTTTTGAGACAGAGTCTCACTTTGTTGCCCAGGCTAGAATGAGTGCCATGGTGTCAGCCTAGCTCACAGCAACCTCAAACTCCTGGGCTCAAGCAATCTTTCTGCCTCAGCCTCCCAAGTAGCTGGGACTACAGGCATGCTCCACCATGCCCGGCTAATTTTTTCTATATATTTTTAGCTGTCCAAGTAATTTATTTCAATTTTTAGTAGAAACAAGGTCTCACTCTTGCACAGGCTGGTCTTTAACTCCTGAGCTCAAATGATCCACCTGCCTTGGCCTCCCAGAGTGCTAGGATTACAGGCGTGAGCCACTGCGCCCAGCCTTTTTTTGTATTTATAAAATAAATTCCACCCATTCCCCGATTTTCTGTTTTCTTCCCAGAACTCCTTTTGGTTGCATGTCAAACCTCCTGAATCGATCCAACTTTATTTTTTCTCCTCCACTTTTGATTTCTGTTCTAAAACATTTCCTTGTCTTTTAACATTCTCACTGAATTCGTTAACATTTTAAATTTCGTATCTTGTTCTAGTGTCCTGGGTTTTTTTTGTATTTATTTTTATTTTTATTATTTTTTTGAGACAGAGTCTCGCTTTGTTGCCCAGGCTAGAGTGAGTGCTGTGGCGTCAGCCTAGCTCACAGCAACCTCAAACTCCTGGGCTCAAGCAATCCTCCTGCCTCAGCCTCCTGAGTAGCTGGGACTACAGGCATGCACCACCATGCCCCAGTAATCTTTTCTATGTGTATTAGTTGGCCAAGTAATTTCTTTCTATTTATAGTAGAGACGGGGTCTTGCTCTTGCTCAGGCTGGTTTCAAACTCCTGACCTTGAGCAATCCGTTCACCTCGGCCTCCCAGAGTGCTAGGATTACATGCGTGAGCCACCACGACTGGCCTTTTGTTTGTATTTTTTTTTTTTTTTCCTAAGACAGGTTCTCCCTCTGCTGCCTAAACTGGAGTGCAATGGCACAATCATAGCTGACTACAACCTTGAACTCCCCAGGCTCAAGCAATCCTCCCACCTCAGCCTCCTAAAATGCTGAGATTACAGGCAGAAGCCACCATGTCTGGCTTCTAGTTTCTTTAATACATTTTCTCTTATCTAAGGATATTAGTTCTTGGAAATTTTCTGATTCATGAGAGTTACTTTTTGTTTAGAGTTACCTTTCGTAATCAAATTTCTAGTAATCCCTGGCTCTCCCTATTTAATCCTTTGCATTCAGATGTCGAGTGTGACTCGACACGACTAGCAAAAATTATAGAGATTAAAATTACTCTTTGAATGTATCAATAATTTGAAATATAAAAAAATCCAAATAAGTTTGTATGAAAAGAAACTCCAGTTTTTTATTCTACTGCCACGCTTTGTAAAATCTGGGGTATTTAAAAAATTAAATCCTGAGTAGAATAAAGGAATCGAGAAAAAACCAAGCGAGGGCACAGGGTTAAAAGTGAAGCACTCAAAACCTGTTTGGAAGATTTGTGTACATGGGCAGGACTTACTGACTGGGACACTTCACTGAGAGGGACTGATGGTCAGTTGGCTTTTTTGGTGGTGACCTTCAAATGTCATCTCTCTCAGG